ACACTTATGGAATGGACGATCAAACGGCCCATTTTATAATAAGTAAACAAGGCGCATAATAAAAGTGGGTTGAAAAGGAAATCGCACATTTTCAAAAATGAGAAAAGCAGATAATGAATTTTTTACCGTTTCTAGGACAGCATCGCAATCACGTGGCATGTGCTTTATATGGCTACCATAACTAAGCCGACGCAAAAGCATCAAACGTGTTCGGTAATGCACCAGTGTTAGTGGTGTTTTTTCAGCTTTCAATAAAATGCTAAAAGCATTTTCCACTTTTTCCTGAAACAAACTTTACTCCAATTACAGTGATAATGCAGGCGTGAACACCGATTCTAAAAAGAGTGTTGTAAAAATTCATTTAGAAAAAAAACAACTGGCCAGCGCACCGACTGCCGATGCAAAGGTGCGTTTTTTGCATAGTCCCCCGCAGGTTTTTGTCGCTAACGGTACTGTTTTTTCGGCAGATGTGTCTAGCTAAAAGAATTGAGATTGGACACCAGGACTGTCAGGAAACGCACCCTCAAATTTCAGCCTTCTAGCTTTTCAGGTCCCCGAGTTAGCAGCTTACTCGTAAAAAACTTTGATAAGCCCGTACGTGGAAACCACATCGGTGAGAGTGCCCACTGGTGGGATGGAGGTCCGTATGTGCATGTAGATTAATTTCTCAAAGTATCAGCCTAGTAGCTTTTGTAGGTCTCGAAATGAAAAATCGACACGGATGCACATACAGACACATACACAGACAACCCCTTCACAATATGCGTTTTGCATTGCATAGATACAAAAAACGCATAAAAACTATGCTGAAAAGTTCTCTAGACTGCACCACGACTTGGAAGCAAAAACGTCCGAAACAAGGGAATGTGTATAACAAAGGCCAAGGCATTCAGAAACTACTGAAGCCTTGCAAATGCTTCTGCTGGAGAACAGCAGGCTAATAAAGCCTTAATGGAACGACATGAACGTCCAGACAAACAGCAAACTGCTGATGTTCTAAGCAGAACCGGTTAAAGCAGCAGCAGGAAGAGTCATCAGCAATACACAAAAACAGACTGTGAATATAGCTGATCAAAGTGCTCTTAAAAAACCCCAAACAGAATAAGCTACTTTAAATTTGAAATAAGCTGCAAAATCTCGTTTAATAACCAAGAACACCCTCGCTGAAAAGAATGGGTGTTTTACATTAGTGATGGTACTGGGATTCTCCCACACGCTGGGAGGAGCCATGCCAGACCTTTCGGTCCTTCAGTTACTGCCCACGGCTTTTTTGTTGGGTCTCTTGGGATCGCCTGAGTGACCGTTAACATCTTCGCGCGTATTACCTATTGATACGCAAAGACCAGCAGTTGTTGCCAAGGCTATCAATATGCCATGCACATAGGAATTTATTGTCTCACAGGCTCACAGTGATTTTTTGTAAGCAGCGGTTGACAGCCCAACTTTTTATACGACCACGAAAAGACACATCAAGCATTTTTCACTTCATCGCTCTTTCCGCTACAGCCACTGGCCGCACTCACTATTCGCCAAGGCACATCGCATCCACACGTTACTGACTACAGCACAGTAGTACTGATGAGTTGGGTACGGCCCCTTCGGTTCGACACTTTGCAAACAGCGACGATGCTGTGAAATTTACGTCAATGGCAGCTCTTCTACACGCAATCTCCGACTGCGGATATGGCAAGAGAGTCGTAGACGCCAAGTTCCGCCAAATACATACCGTCTGTCTAAAACCTTGCCGAATACATACGTTTCAAATACATAAGTTCCATAATTTTCGTTTTCGAAACGTAGATTTTCCAGCTCGCTTCCTTACTTCGCGCACTCAGCTCCTACAGCACTTCATCCACCTCGCAGGGGTCACTCTGCATCATCCACGAAGCTTATCTGCCTACCATTTATCCCCAGGTTACCTTTCCAATACATGTTTCGCAATATACCATTGCGAAAGGCAGCTTAGGTAAAGTGCGATCGTTTTGCTTCATTCATTCCCCTTTCAAGAGGTATGTGGATTAAAAAAGTTTTATTTCTGCGAGCGGCTTATTTTAACTTTCTTAACAATTTTTACACGGCTCCTATCATCTGAACACCTACAAGAGAAAAGTAAAGAATTCAGAGCTATGCTATTACATGCTTTTTGCATTGACGAATAATAAAGAGAGTTTTTATCCTCCTGTGCGTTCTAGCAGCCAGTTTGGAGCGAAAATGTAGCCCATCGTGCTATATTTACTTCAGATCCAACTTGCCCCTTCGGTTGCTATTTATCGAACAGTCTTGTCAGAGAGCGAAAATACTCTTGAACAGGCTATAAATCTGAGAGAGTAGGCAGACTAGGCCAGTTCTTAAAGGCTTACTTATCGCTTTCATTGCAGCAGGAAAGTTTTCGAATCTCCAAGTGCCAGATAACCCCCTTTCAGCCAATTCTGATTAAACCAAACAGCGAGAATTTCAAAAGTTCTCGCTTTACAGATCTGGCGAACTGGATGCTGATGCCGCCCACTACCAGCAGCCTTTTTCGGAAAGCTACGCACCTTATCTCGCTGAGAAATACTAGGGAGATTACAAGTGCTGGGAAGTTGACCCATGATGCAAACAGATTTGTGCGTAATTTTAAACAAAGGATTTCCATAACTGTTCGATCGGTATCTGACGTCCCCCTCCATTTTTCAGCCTTATTATTGTGAGACGGTAAAGTGGCAATTCTCTCTTCTGCACTTCTTCAGACTCTGTTTTTTCTGGACCGTTTTTAACTTGCATCGATGACTGTAATTTCCGAGATCCTTCTTTAGCTTTCGTCCGAAGTGTCTGCAGAAAAGAGAGCTTTAACTCCCTTTTATGGTTTTTTGTTTTATTTCCGTGGCTGCGAAAATCAAAATTGGCCGTCGAGGCCCAGTATATTCTGCTTGTTTTGCGCAAGAACATTACAAACGAAGCATTTGTAGTTGTTCAATCAGTGTTCCCGACCTGTTTTTTCAGCTCTTTTCTGTCGCTTTGATTTCTCGGGGCCTAACACAAGCTGCCGCATGCAATATGATGCTTTCATGAGTCGGACAATTTGCAGTCGGCAGCATGCGGCAGTCTTTTCCTGTATTGAGAGGTACTAAGGAAACATCCTTCAGCATTTGCCGGCACTGAACAAGTTTCAGTCAATTTTGTCTGTTTTCGTTCGTTTCCATGTAATTACCAATCAAAAATTCAAAAAACTCACCAGATGCCCACCATCGGTTCCGGCACTGTTAAGCGGGACATCAAAATGGCACAGTACTGTTAGGGCAGTTTGTCGCACACGACTGCTCCAGTGGCCAAACATCGGTAAAATTTCATTTGCAACCTAAAATGCGTACCAATCAACACATGTCTCTAAAACTGTGCAACAGCCAAGCACAGGTATGCCAGAGGATAAGAGAATAAAATTAACGCAATGAGTATTAAAGCTAAATACTGCAGTCATGAGAGAGTCGCTTAATTCGCAAACGTTGCAGCTATAAGTCAAAATCGATGATACCTACAATTAAACTTA